CCTCACTAATTTGACCAGAACAGTTGCAGGTAGCTGGAATCAAACCCACAAAATTCTGCGCCAATCCTAATACTCTGAACAGTAACCACTTGGACACCCTGCCCAGTGGGTTTTGCAAATAATTTTATTACACAGCCTAAACTCACTGCTTAGTTCTGCAGAGCAAGTACTGAACAGTGTGATGTGGCTTCCATTTCCAATAAAATTATGAGGCTTCAACAAAATCGGATCTCCCTCCCAGGATATACTCAACCAAAAATATTCCAGAAATTCATTTTCAAATCTTGATGGTGGTTGGAAAATAAACTAATGAGGCCAATCCTAGATAACCCATATGCAAAAATTCTGATTTATTCCCCACATCCATATAATTGACCTAAATAATAGGCAAGTCATTATTAACAGAGAATTAATATTTTCACAATATATTCATAATTGTGATTACCATCAAACGGGGTAAAAAGGGACAGTTTTTTGTTAATAACTTCTTACCATGATACATTTCAGAAACAAGTTTAGGCTCATTTTATAGCTCTTTGCAAGGGCTATTGAATGGCATCTTCAAAAAAATTCCATATGCTATTCGTGAGGTGCCAGACGCAAAATAAAACCATCCCTAATTACCCCTGGGAATGGGGTAATCCAGGACACTTGCAAGAAAAGTTAATTTTAAAACGTTTGAAGCATGCAGAGTGTACTCATAACAGTACTCTGAAGTCCTCCTCTTTCATGGTAGAAGATGTAGATGTAAAATAAATCACATTTTATGTGATTTTACTTGTTTTTCCTTTATTAATATGATATTACCATATTCATTAATTACAGTATTACTGATGTGATATTACCGTATTCATGAACATGCCATTGAGCATTTACAACGACCTTGTCCACTGCAAGCTTCATATCAGCAGCCTTATAGCATTTCTTCTGTATCTGTAAGCTTACAGGATGGCTTGCAATTTCACACCATTTTAATTGGGTTAAGTGAATTTGCTATAAAAATGATCATGAAAAACATACCTGAAACAGAAAATAATGTTTTAGTGACAACCATCATATGTTTTGTAGAATTAGATCATAGTTTAGATCAATTAGATCATTAGATCAATTACTTTTCATTCTATGATGCAATATTTTGAATAGTTTAGCTGCTACAACATTTCTACGAAATGTGGGACGCGCGTCCCGATTTACCCCGCCCGTCCCTTTTTACCCCATTTGACGGTACTTGCAGGGTTTTCAAACACATCAGATAATACTACATTTAAATCTGTCATTTAAATAAGCTTAATATTGGCAGAGTCATGAAAAGAGATCACTTCACAGCACCTATAAGAAGTACCTATAAGGAGAATGACCTATATATTTCAAGTACCTATAAGTACCTAAATTATATTTTTATTATACATTTCAAGTACCTATATTATATTTCAAGTGGTAACTATAATAAGCAGCATTGGATCAAGAATCTATAAGCTCAGGAGAATGAGATAATGGGAAAACAGTGAAAACTTCCTTAGCAAAAAACAATGAAAACTTAATAGCTGAAGAATTACTGATTCACAGACTAATTGGCACAAAAATTGAAAATATGCAAGATTCTCAGCTCACTTGTGGAATTCCAATTATTATTTTGTGGCTGCAAATTAAGACAAGACTTTACTTACCCTGCCTAATTATGACCATAACCACAAAAATTACTAGATTGCTTAAGTCGCAAGTTTACCAGGAATTTAAAAGCAAAGAAAACAGCCAGAATATTAACCATTTTTTAAGAATGAAAACGTTTCAGAGTCCAGCTCCATCGTCAGTTCAAAAGTTCAAAACCTATAAGAAAATAAGAATCAATTAGTTTAACGTGGCGTTGAAAATAATATTTTCACTCCACGGCTTGCAATAATAAAATTAAGTGATTGTCAAATTTCAAGGATCACCTATCACTTACTGAAAGGTTATCCCAGGCGCTCAATATTCAGCACAATGGTAAGATGTTGGCACAAATGATGGCTATATTTTGTTGACAAGTCTTTGGATATAACGAAAGCAGATATTATTTCTGTCAGCCTAATCCCTGCAAACCCCCGTAACACTCCCCAATCCTTATAATTGCCAGTTTTGCTCCCAAATCCCTATAATCCCCCGCATCACTCCCAAATCCCTATATAAACCCCATATCACTCCCCAATTAATACGTCCCTCGGATCACTCCCCAATCCATATAATCCACCTTATCACTCCCAAATCCAGATAATCCCCATATAACTTTTCAATCCCTATAATCCCTCGCTCAACTCCCCAGTCCCTATAATTCCCCCGTATCATTCCATAGTTCCCATAATCCCCCGTGACACACCACAGTCCCTGTAGTCCCCCATATCACTCCCCAGTCCCTATAATCCCCCGTATCACTCCTCAGTTCCTATAATCCCCCATATCACTCCCCAGTCTCTATATAATCATCATTAATCATGTCACTCACCTAAGTGTTTCGTGACAGGTGATCGCTGCCAATCTTTTGGTCTAGCTCGCCTTAATTAATATCTTCTGAGCAATCGTCTCTAACTGAACAAAAATGCAAAGAAATCTGCAATAAAATGTTAAAAAATCAATCAAATATTGCATACAAGTTAAACGGTGTTTTTGTTTCCGATCTACATTCTCATTACCTAGAAACTAAATCCGCATTGAACAAACAATTTTCATGCTGCTATGATACAAATATTTTAACTGAGCTTTGTGAATTGAGGGCACTCAATAAGTGAAAAATTCATTTACAAATAACTTCCATCTTGTCCTTATTTCAAATAATTCTGGAAATTATTTTTCCTCATCTTAGATTTATATCAATTATATGATTATAATTCAAAATTTTCAATTAAAAATCAGTTCTGCAATGCTTATGATTCTAAAAAAAGAGAGAGACACCGCCTCGATACTTGAGGTCTCTTGGCTTCTGCCGGTTTTGTAGAAACCTAACAGCCAAATTTGAACATAGTTATTGAAACCAACAGCTGCCATATAACTTCTAATAACCAAGACAGAATTCAGTTATTAAACCAGAGTCCTGACTCTTTATGGAGGGTCTCTTTCTACGGCAGGCGCGAGGCTGTTCAACGCCGCCGAAGTAGCGGAGGGTTCACCCTTGCAACATTCCAGAGACGACTGGACGCGGTTTTTTGAACAATAGCAGACACCACAGCTGCAACAACAGCAGCAACAACAGCAGCAGCAACAACAGCAGCAACAACAGCAACAACAACAGCAACAACAGCAGCAGCAACAACAGCTGCAACAACAACAGCAGCAACAACAGCAGCAACAACAACAGCAGCAACAACAGCAGCAACAACAGCAGCATCAACAGTAACAACAGCAGCAACCACAGCTGCAACAACAGCAGCAACAACCGCAGCAACAACAGCAGCAACAGCAGCAACAACAGCAGCAACAACAGCAGAAACAACAGCAACAACAGCAGCAACAACAGCAGCAACAACGACAGCAACAACAGCAGCAACAGCAACAACAACAGCAGCAACAACAGCAGCAACAACAGCAGCAACAACAGCAACAACAGCAACAACAACAGCAGCAACAACAGCAGCAACAACAGCAGCAACAACAGCAACAACAGCAACAACAACAGCAGCAACAACAGCAGCTACAACAGCAGCAACAACAGCAACAACAGCAACAACAACAGCAGCAACAACAGCAACAACAACAACAGCAGCAACAACAGCAACAGCAACAACAACAGCAACCCTTGTCGCTGTCGTCAAGAGCTTTTCTCGCAGGCTCGCCACCAGCGTTCACACAAGCATGGAGGAAGCAGTCTTGCGTTCACGCACGTCATTTTTCTAGCATGAGTTCAAGCTCAACACAACAGTTCAGCAACAACAGAATAACCGCAATATCAGGTAACAACAGAGGAAGATACAACAACAGCAGAAATAACAACAACAGCAACATAAACAACAGCAGGAGCAAAAACAGCAGCAGCAACATCAAAAAAAACAAAATAAAGAAACGGTAACAACATCATAAACAGCAACACAATCAAAAACAGCAACAACACCATCAACAGTAGTAACAACAGCAGCAGCAAGAACAACAGCAGCAGCAAGAACAACAGCAGCAGCAAGAACAACAGCAGTAACAGCAACAACAACGGCAACGACAACAGCGGCAACAACAGCAGAAGCAACAACAGCAGCAACAACAGCAACAACAGCAGCAACAACAGCAGCAGCAACAGCAGCAGAAACAGCAGCAACATCAGCAGCAACAACAGCAGCAAAAACAGCAGCAACCACAGCAGCAATAACAGCCGCAACAACAGCAGCAACTACAACAGCAATACCAGCAGAAACAGCAGAAAAACAGCAGGAACAACGGCAGCAACAACAACAGCAACAACAGCAGCAACAACAGCAGCACAACAGCAGCAAAAACAACAGCAACAACAGAAACAGCAGCAACAGCATCAAAAGCAGCAGCAACAGCAGCACAAGCAACAAAAATATCAGCAACAACAGCAGTGACAACAGCAGCAGCAACAACAGATGCAACAGCAGCAGCAGCTACAGCAGCAACATCAGCAACAACAGACACAAAAGCAGCAACAACAGCAGCAATAACAGCAGCAACGAAAGGAGAATCAGCAGCAACAACAGCAGCATCAACAGCAACAACAGCAGCAACAACTGTAGCCTGTCTCTTATACACATCTAGATGTGTATAAGAGACAGAGATGTTGTTATTTCATTTAAGCTTAGTTCACCATCTTTTATTATTGTTACTGAACTAATGCATCTTATCATCCTAATTAAATTTTTTGAACGACTATTTGAACTTGCAACGTTGCAAGTGATTACGTTGTATGGCATTGGAAGAGTGANTGCACCTACAGGTTCTTACCTGCACCTACAGGTTCTTACCTGCACCTGCAGGTTCTTACCTGCACCTACAGGTTCTTACCTGCACCTACAGGTTCTTACCCGCTGTTGTGCAGCGGCAGGAGGAGGTCGTCGTTAGGCTCGTAGGCGTCAGGGCTGAACAGACTCAGGCTGACCTCCACGCCCCTCGCCGCCGCCACGAGCGCCCCCCACGGCGCCCCCCTCAGGGCCGCGGCCTCCATGCGCACCACCAGAGTACGTGGCTTGGCATACGTCAGCATGGCTGTCGCCACAGACACTTCGCGACCTGCGGCCAACATGCGATAAATTGTCTGAAAATATCTTGCGCCTCATGACAGCTCAGCAATTTAGTAAAGAAAATTAACGATTTAACTCTGCAGAAGTAATTGTGAGGAGACCTCATGGGCCCCTCTCGCCTTCATTAAGACTCTGCATCACAAAGCTCCAAAGTCCTGCACCTACAGGACTTTAATATCCGTTCCCAGATAACAGCAGATCGGTGTAAATCTGAGCTCGTGTGTTATTTCGGCCGTCACCAGCCTCTTTCCCTGTGATCACTTAAACGACATGTTTGTGGCTGACGCGCCCCATGCCCCAAGAATTAGGCCCATGAGGCAACGGGCTTTTTTCAGGTGGCCGATGAATAGCCAGCGGTCAGCCGGTGTCAACCTACTCTGGCCGACAGCTGGCAACTCACGCTCCTGGGGCAGGGATCCAGCGCCAGGCGAATAACTTGTGAGCAACTGAGAGAATGGCTGGGTCTGGGTGACTCACTTTGATGAGTCAACCGCGTCCAAATATCCGTGCACTTTTTTACTCTCTTGCCCCCATTTATGAGTCATACTGACCTATTTTCGGCCCTTTAAATTCCAGGTATAACTCTCTTGAGGCGTTAAGTCGCTCCGACGCTCAGATGCTCCTACGTATCTATGCTACGGCGTCAAAAGCTATTTGACGCCTCGAGTGAGTCATGCCTGAAATTAAAAGGGTCAGTATGACCCACAAATGGGGCAAGTGAGTCGAAAAAGTGCATCGATATTCGGACGCGGTTGACTCATGGGTCGTCCAGACCCACGCATTTCTCTCAGTGTGCGTTCCCTCATAAAGCACTAGGCATACCTTGACTCCTCCAATATACGACAATAGGAGGAGGAATCGATTTTTCTCCGTATAATATGTGAAAAGAACTGAACAACACATCAAAATTATTGGTACCCGAAAAGGCCAATAGGTTAAAAATACTAATCAAAATATTATCAAATGCTCATAATTATTATAACATATACTATGTGCTGTCATTGGATAGTTTGTATTTTTACACAAATTCTTATCGGACATGACTGAATTGAATTGTTTCGCGAAAATGTTAGAAAAGTCGAGCGTTTTACGATCCTCATGCAGGGTTCAAAAATTTACATTCGCGATAACTGTGATAATACAAAGTTTACCTAATTTTTCTTAATGTCCGTTAATTGACAATAAATAGCAGTAAAGCATTCCAAATTTCAGAGGCCAGGTAATGATCGCCTTCATAGCTAAGAAACGCCATAGGCGACTACCGCGGCTGACAGCCTTGATGTTCACTCTTAAATGCATCGCATGCTACCAGATTCAACAAAACGTCACTCTCATCCAGTGTGACGAAACCTCTCACACCCTGTCCAACGCGAGTGAAAGTCACCCACCTTATCTAGCTAATTGGAACGTCACCCACCTCATTCAACATCATCAAACGTCACCCACCACATTCATCATATTCAAACATCACCCACCACATTCTTCATAATTAAGCATCCCCCACCAAATTCATCATACTCAAACGTCACCTTTTTTTTCGAGAATTCGCTGTTCGACTTTGATTTTGTTATGTTGACACTTGACATATTAATCCCCTTCAAAGGCCGTAATTTTTAAAAAAGTCAACCAGGATTATTGAAGGTGATACAGCTGAATAAATATTTGTTAATCTATTGTAAATCAATCAACAAAATATCGCACAAATCGATGGATGCAAAGAGGTTCTTTTTATGACCTCATATGCAAGTTAACTGACGTACGAGCCTCTGCAGCACTTCCCCCTCCCCCCCGCCCCTCCACCCCATCTTGGTTGCCCGGAGGATTTCACTGTCGCGTGTGTCTCTGAGGGACTGTATAGGTTATGTGTTTTGAACTCTATTATCTTGAAGGCAAAATACAGAAAACTTGAAGTCAAATATCAAGACATAGAAATAAAATATATAGGAGTGTTGCCCAGTCGCTGGAATGAGATAAGGAGCGTAATAGATACTAGCAATAAAAACAAAGACTTACAGCGATACTAAATCATGATCAAAAATTACTTCACAAGGTTGAATAAAAAAGGTTCTAGAATATCTGAAAATTTGATAACTAATGGATACAAAACAAAGCAAGGACAAGTGAAGGCAATTATGAAGAGTGTAAGGCTGTAGAAACCCAAGACTTACAGGGGCCCCCGGGGCAGCGGCCCAATATGAGGTTGCGGCACCACTCCCTCCTCCTCTAGGGCAGGGGTCACCAAACTTTTTTCACTGAGGGCCGGATAACTGAAAGAATGACGAGCGTTGGCCGCATAATCATTCTGTTCAATACCTGCAAGCCAGAACGAAAGCTCTGGGAAAAAGACGAAACACTAAGTTTAGCATTCCATGTTAACCAAAAAACAAAGCCAACAAACATTTTATTATCTAAAAAGTTTTCAAAGAAGGCGACGTGAGCTAAAAGATGGTTACATCAAACTTAGTGTGCACATATCCGAATCTCATAAACTAAACAGCTAAAATGGTTAGTGAGATTTAAGAAACTGACGTTTGGCTTCCAAGGTATCGTCAATGTTTAGTATGGAATTGCTGCATCCAATCAAGAGAATTGCTTTCAAATGTTCATCAGTCAATCTCGTTCGACGTGTTGACTTCACAAAATTCATTTTTGAGAATGTTTGCTCACAGACATAAGTTGTTCCAAAGACTGATGCCATACCGGCGGCGAATTTCTTCAATTCCGGAAACTCAGGATCAGGTACGCAGCGGTAAAATTCGACAAGTTTTCCTTCTCTGTGTTTCTATTTCAACAAGTAATTTGCTTGCAAATCAATGAGCTCCAATTGGAGTTCAACTGGCAAATCATCAAGGTTAAAATCAAACGGATTCTGGAACAGAAGAATGTCACTCTCGGTTCTCTCGAGATCTGAAAATCTCTCCAAAAATGCTTCTTTAAGCCACGAATAATCTTTTTTGGAAAATCAAGGTTGACATCTTCAGCGATTGAAGCGTAAAACTCTCTGAAACAGTGAAAATGAGAGAAGTTTTCTCCTTCCAAGAAGAAATACAATTCATGAATACATAGATACAATAATTGAAAATAGTAAATTTAAGGCACATATAGCGGTCAGGAGGTCTCCGCACGCGCGAAGATTTCCTAGTATTATAACCATAAAATGTAAATTGTATCACAACATTTCGTCTTCCAACCGCTTTATCAAGCAATTTAAAGTACCGTCGAAGGGCCAGATGAATTGACGTCGCGGGCCGGATTCGGCCCGCGGGCCGTAGTTTGGTGACCCCTGCTCTAGGGCAAGCATTCCTGAGGGACGCTGGTCCCGATCACTGGCAGCAATTAGTCATCATCACTAATACACAATTAAATATTGTACACGTAATCACATAAGCAAAACAAGGTTATTCGTAAGGACGTCCCTATACAACGAAATGTCCCCAATGAGACCTACACAACGCGTGTTAGCAGCGGCTGAAGTTAGTTTAGCCTGGCAGGAGATGAAATATTGAAACTCGTAAAGGTGCTCAGGCAAAGTTACCTATAAATAAATTTAGAATAAAATAATATCATCCTTGCAAAAACAAAGTTAAAAAACCCAAAATACAATTTTTTATACATATAGGTAGATATTAATGTTATATTAATTCTTCAAAAATGGAGTACAGTTAGGAACACAGTGAATAAAATGTTTTGTAAAGTAGTGTATTACTCACAT